GGGGGGGGAAGAGGAGGAAAGTAAGAGGACCGGAGAGTTGTCAGGAGAAGGTGGGAAAAAGCTTCGTGTTGGAAGAAATGTAATAGGAGGAGGACAGAAGAAAAAGGGAATAGAATAGAAAGGAGGTTGGAGGAGGAAAATTAAGCTTGTTACATGCAATTCTTTCCACCAAGTGCTCAGATAGAAACGCGTCACTCTTCCTGTCAATGAATCTCTTGCTGAAAAGTCGTTCAGATCACTAGCAAAAAGAGTTGGCACGGAGAAGATGACCATGAGAAGAGGAGGGAGAGAGAAGGGAGAAGAGGAGGGAGTGAAAGGCAGAGAGAGAGAAAGAGAGACAGAGACAGAGACAGAGAGAGACAGAGACAGAGGCAGAGGCAGAGACAGAGACAGAGACAGAGAGAGAGGAGGGGGAGATCGCATGGCTGACACAAGAGGACTCACGTGATCATCAGCATGTCAGCCCCGTAAACCATGAGAGCCGAGCAACGAGATTGCCAATATTCTCGTCTAAGAGCACATGAGAAAGAGTCGCCCTCCTCTATTCCTGCCCCCGCCTCAACTCCTCCCTGACCCTCTCCCTCTCCTGCTCCTCCTTCTGCTCCTCCTACATTAGGGTCTTCGGCTCCCCTCACCTCGAGAACTCTTCTGTCCTGCGGAGGAAGGTTTCGATGGGTTGCTCGTTGGGATCCGGCACGGCAGTCTCCATTTGATGGATCGACTCGATGCCCTCGAAAGCGTGATCGAAGCAGAAGCTCAGGTCGTTGAGGAGAGAGTTATAGAAGCGAACGAAGTCCATCGGGTTCTCTTGCACATGCGCAGCAAACATGTCCTGATGGAACTTCCCTTCGTTCTCCCACCTGAGCCTCGTCAGCCAGCCCTCGCTCCTCCCCGTGGCCTCACAGATAGTCCATGAGGACGAGCACGTGCGTGCGGTAGCCGAACTTCCTGTTGCTGTTGCTGCGGGGGAGTCACTTCGTCTCAGCAACGAGTCAAGTTCACATGTCGTCTGATCCCAGCGCCTCCAAGTCCACAAAGTGGCGCATCAGCATCGGCATCAACTTCGCCCGGCCCTGGAGAGAGCAAGTGAACAAGTGCCCTCGCTTCCCTCCCTCCCCTTGCTCCTCCTCTCGTCCCGATCCTTCTTCAATTCTCCTCTACTCCTCTTGGCTCTTCTCCGCCCTCCTCGCCCTTACTCACCATGGTCACTCCATCCAATAAGGTCACGGCCGGTCCCCCGATGTCAACGGCCATCTTCACGGGGATGAAACCATAGAGGACGCGAACGATAGCGGCGCGGTTGTAGATGTTGGACACCTCGTGGCTCGTCAGGTCGCGGATAGCAGCAGCAGAGCTCACGAGCTTCGGGTTGAAGGCCAAGCGGGAGAGAAAGGAGAAGATGGTATCCAGCCCTTCTTGATGGATCTGCGAAACGATCAGGAAGGACCAGGAATTGCAGGTGCATCACAAGGATATTCAGCTTGGGAAACATCAGCCCACAGAGGCGAGTGCCGTCGCAGAGAGCATAGATCTAGAGCTCCGCGTCAGATGATTGCGCTTGCAAGAAGAGGAAAATGGCTTCGAGAAGTCACGAGTGACTTGAGAGAGTTCAGCTGGATGTCTGGTGGCACTTACGATGTTTTCGGGTGTCTTGCTCAAGTCCTCATCACTCTGCAAGTAAGTCAGACTTCCACATGGAAGACAGCGGGAAAAAGAAAGATGTCAAGCAAAAGAAATACCTGTAACAACGCAATCCTCATGGCATATTGACAAAACTTCAACAGTCTGCTCAAGGCTTGTAAACACAACTATCGAAAAAAGGCTGGGGAGCGGAAGAGGGTGCAGAGAATGAACACAAGAGCAAAGGAAGCGTCCTGGCCATCAATGCACAAAGAGAAGAGAGAGAGACAATGAAGGGAGAGGGAGGAACATGCCGGAAGGAGAAATAGACGTTTTTATGCATGGATTGATAGCCAGTCTGCACAACTTCGATCAGAACTTGGAAGAAGAGGGGAGTAGAACAGACTTGTTCGAACATCAACTGCTTCTTCTCCGAGAAGGACTCGATCGCTGAGCTGTTCTGCACGACTCCCGTGTCATCAAAACAACAACTCCGATAGAGGCACTACAACCCCTGAATGCCATGATCGAAAGATCTTTGTCAAAACCCCTCGCAAGCTCTGATATCTGGCGAAGGACTCTGATTGCCTTGAATCATAACATTCAGGACTGGCCGACACATGACGACAGCACTAACAGGATGTCTGCTGATTCGAGGGCAGCAAGGCTTCTGAAGAAGAAGAGCGTTTCTGAGCACCAGCAACAAACGTGAGATCGGGTGGACGTGAAGCTTTCGTGACCTTGCGAAACATTTTTAGCTTGACTGCTGGACGTCATATTCTCTTGTTCGTCAGTTGAATCCTGTCAAACATTCAGACAGGCGGGCGTGGCCTATCAGAAGCATACCGAGTGAAAGAGAGGATTGGATTTTGAGAACAAATTGTGGTTCTGCAATTGTGATTAAGGAGCGAAGGCTCTTGAAGAAATTCTGCTCTTCACCTTATCATAGCAGTACGACCAATCAATCACGCCCTTTATCTCTTCCTCCTGATCGTCTGCAAAAGTTTCTCACATTGGCAAGCCGCCATGGCTGTGCAAGTCCTCGCTCACTGAATGTTTCTGTTGTGTCTCTCAAGCGAAGATCTCTGCGGGTCCAGTCAACGTTTTTGTTGCAAGCCTGTTGGAGAGATAAGTACCCGAATTTCCTCTTGTTCTTGATAATCTCGTGGCTTCTCAGCATCAGGTCGAGGAAATTCAACGCTGCTGCATCCTGTGGCAGAAAGAAGACGATAAGTAGGATGAAATCCTCGCGGACTTGATCTGACCGTCACCACAGGAGTATCCAACATCAACCTGATAAATTCGGAATGTCAACCAATAAAGCAGAGGGTTCATCCCTGTCACATTTTGGCTGCTTCTGTTGTTCTCTTCTGCGCCTCTGTCAAGAAGGAAGTAATCCATTGATCAGTTTCCTTCAACGAATTGCGTCAAGTGACATCTTATCCAAATGAAGGCAAGTGTACATTTGGTAAGTATTGCAAGAAAGACTGAAACAACGCCGCATTTTCTTTCTGCGAGAATATCTCAGAGGTGCATCGCAATCAAATGAATTGTCAACTACCAAAATTTCCTCACAATTTGTCGACACGTTGTTCGACTCTGAAAGCACCATGGTTTCCAGTACCTAGGTCAAGAACGAGTGTTACGATAGCCAATGCAGTGCAGTTGCTCTGATACAGTCAGGTCGCTCTGACCAAACAGGCGTTTCCTATAATCCTCGTTATTGGCGACCGCATCCGTCACGGAGAATCTGAGAATAAGATAGGTCACCACGAAGAAGCAATAGGAAGCTCTCAGACCTGATGAAAGATCCCAGCAGCGTGTCTGTCAGATCTCTGCTGCTCCACAAGTTTGATCCCAGCAGGTGCCTGGGGACCTCTCGTCACCTCTGCAAGCTGGAGGAGGAGGAGCTTCACCTGCGCAGCTGCTCGGGCCCAAACAACTTGAACACCGCCTCATGAATGAACTGAGTGTTGTACTCCTGCCGAGGCAAGTCAAAAAAGCGCCGGGTGGCCTCAAACATGGTCGCACAGATCTCGTTGCAGTCTTGAACCATGGTCCAGCGACCAGGTACTGGCTGATCCAGTCGCTGATGGTGTTGGGCAGGTCTTCTAGGACCTGAGGTAAGGATGAGCAGAAGTTCAACAGTGAGGTGTTGAAAACTTTTACCGCTAGAAAAGATTCAGAGAACTGCTTCTTGTCTTCCAGCATTTTGCTGCATCGCAAAAAATCAGTGAGCAGGAATAAAACAATCGCCCGCTGCGTTACTCAATGCTCGCTTCAAACAATACTGGGAACATGTTCGCGGCTGCGGGGTATGATGAGCAACAATCTTTGGGAGTTCACGTCATTGAAATACTTGACAGCAGCTTCTTTGCGGTGAATCGACCAAAGAAGCGATACTCCTGCATCATGATAGACATATACCCCACAGCCTGCTCCTTAATGCTCTCCGTGCCATTTCGAAAAGCTTCCCCGAGGAACTCGTGACTGCCTTGTGACTCCATCAGTCCCTCGAAGAGATCGACTGCGGTATCGTAAGAGGAGCTACTCCCTCTCAAACATTCACCGTCATCATCCCCCGACCCCCGAAGTCGAAGTCTCTCGGGCAGCAGATGCGGCCCATGGCTGCGTATCCTCCTCTTGAAATTTCGCTGTGAGATCACGTGAATGAGCGACTGAAGGACTCCTGCCTTCCTTTCGCCACCCTGAAGCTCCTTCACTCCCTCTCATCACAGCGCATGTCACAGCACCTTGAACCTGACGCCGATCGGCTTCATCGCTGTAATCTCGTGCAAGAAAGCAGGCGATAGCAGCAAGACCAGAGCCCAGGCAGATGTCGCGGCATAGGAGAGACCGGATCTTGACGGTTGCCGTTCTCCATTGCTGGTTGCTCTGCCGCCTTGCTTGGTTTTCTCCCATGACGTTTCGTAGCGCATCTTTGCCCCGCCGTCTTCCCACCGCGCTGGGGCTCCAGACTGCTGCTTTCAGTGCTCTTTTGCTGTTTTACTTCATTCCCTTCTCTCTCATATTCGAATCAGAGCTCATCTCGTCTTCTTCATCCTATGCAAATATCCTCCGTATTCCTCCCCTCCGCCACGCTCTTCGCTTGATATCCTCCTTCTGTCTCTCTGTCTGTCTGTCTCTGTCTCTCTTTCTCTCTGTCTGTCTCTGTCTCTCTTTCTCTTTCTCTGTCTGTCTGTCTGTCTGTCTGTCTCTCCCTCTCTCTCCCTCTCTCTCCCTCTCTCTCCCTCTCTCTCCCTCTCTCTCCCTCTCTCTCCCTCTCTCTCCCTCTCTCTCCCTCTCTCTCCCTCTCTCTCCCTCTCTCTCCCTCTCGTCCTCGACCTCCCTCCTCTTATCAGCTGCTCTTGATGCGACCAGCGAGGGACAACAAGAAAAAGAAATGCTTTTACACAAAACAAATCTGGGTTCCCAGGAGGCT